ATCTGCGAAAAACATCGTGTTAGTCGACCGACACAAAAAATAACCTAACGATTATTTTTTGAACGTTCAAGTTTTTTTAAAAAAAAAAAAAAAAACTTCATTAAAACAATAAAAAAACTACACTGTTGAAAACAATAGAAAATATGAATTATAAATAGGTTAACATATAATACACAATGTAATCACTTACGTGTTTAAAGAAAACATTTAAGATAATAATAAATAAAAACTATAAAATATCGAGAGAAAAATTTAATATACATTTGACAAAGTACAATGAAAATAAGAAGCGAACCGATAATGTTATCAATGAATGAATGATAATAAATATCGTAGTTTTAAGATATTATTTATTTGTTCTAAATAAATAAGAATCATATTTAAAAATGTAATAGAACTAAAATTATGCATGCTAATTAAAAAAAAGTGAATCAAATTAATTTGACTTTAATGCGATATTTATACATTCAATTCTTTATGTTATATTATATTGAAGCTTTTTTATTAACATTAGCTTCAAATTGTTAAGTAAGAAAGTCGAAAAGAATGTGTATATGTATCGTGTATAGAAAAAATTGTACTTTCAATAAACTATGCATTTAAATATTCGAAACTAAATATTTTTGTATTTTTTATCAAACGTAGTGACATTAAAAATAATTTTGAATAAAAAAACCTAATACGAATAAATAAAAAATATAAGTAACCAGTACTTGATTTCTAGAAGTATAAGTTTTCATACACTTTGTGATAAATAATAATTAAAGACAGTGTAAGACGAATAGTTGAAGTATCAAACGTTTAAATTAAATAATTTATATTGATGTATGTGCAACACAGTCAGCTTTAAAATATTAAATCAACTAATTAAATTTAAAAATATCGAAATTAATTAAATAACCTTGGGTTAAGAAACACATCTAAAGGATTAGGTATAATATTTCTCTGCTGGGCACCAAATTAATTTTAACTTTTAAAAAATATTTTCCTATTCATTTGCCTAAACTCTAAAAGCAACATTATTGATTAAATAATTCTATACTCGTTAATGTATTGGCCGAAAATAACAAATAGATTTATTTTTAGTTTTATTATTATAGCATACATATATTATTCATATAAAAATTACAAAATTTAACGTGTATATTGGTTGGATGCAATTTAATTTTTTACGTGAGGTTTTCATAACAGATGGTGATATTTTATATTCAAAATTGAAAAATTATAAAAAAAATGTTTACACGATTTGAAACAAATGTTATACAACATAAAATGATGTCATAGAATTCGTATGTAATTATGATTAAAAAAAAAAAAAATATAAATATGCACCCCTATATACATGCAATTTTACTATTCAACTTTACAATACATCAAAATGATTTCATTTTTATACCTTATAAAAATATATACGTGTACATATATGTACGTGATCATTGAGCATGCGTATTTTATGGTTATTAAAAACATGAACTGAATGCAATGTATCTATACTATTAGTGTACGTTAAGTCACCACTGAACCGTACGTTTGTTTATGTATAGTTAAGGGTAAGCGGTTGCTACGTTCACAAATCATCATAACACTATAGTCAATACTAATGATTGCATGTAACGATATAATCATCGTCGTGCGGTAATGCTTTAAAAAAGCTGAAGTATTAAAAAAAAAATCAACTTGTCAAAGTCTTTTGGTAAAATGGCGTAAAAATACTCAACTCATAAAACATAAAATTATTAGTATTACGAGTGTTAAAATTTTTAAAAAATCGATTTAAATATGAATAAAATCGTTATTATAACTTTTTCTTCGCATTTTGGAAATATTACCCAAGAACCTTAAAATGTCATACCTAAAGTAATCTAATGTGTAAATTTATACCAAAATAACTTTTGGTACAGATTTCCTGTTTGATAAAACATCATTATTAAACCAGTACATTATATTGTTCGCTTCGCATCGTTGTACAAAATTATGGCGAACATTCCGTGTATATCCGGTCAGGTTTACTTGCACAAATATTTATTGTCGCCATTTACCGACAACAGATTTTTAAATGAACCGTATGCGCCGTCACCGAGAAGCATTTTTTCATTTTCCACCCATTGTCTTCTCCCCAAATCGTCGTATCTTATTATATTTCCTTTAATTTTATTTATCGTTTATTTATATACACATACGTTAGCTCAATGTTAATAAATACGACGAACGATTAGAAGAAGAAAAAAAAACACGCGCTCGTGAACAGACGACAATTGTACACGCCAGTGAAAATCCAAACAATTACACACGCGTCCTAAATGACACGTTAAATTCTTTTTGTCACGAAGCACTTGACACTTCTTCGTTGTTGACGGTGCGGCGTACAATATAACCGCATAACACTACCATTGAGTGTATACAGGTACATACCTACTTTTTATGGACGCACCTAGCGCACATACACGTAGTGATAAAATAATAATAATAATACGAACTAGTAATAATAGTAATATATTAATAAAAAATTATAATATTATACATACACCATTTTCACGTATTACTCGTTACGAGATGATTCAAATTTTACCTCACAACACTGACTATGTAAATTGTATACACACAGTGGGAAATGGGAATTACATTATAAGCTATATTATGCCTATAGGTTCTTACATAATCTTTTTTATTTTTATAACGTAATATTTGAATGACTCTGCGTATAATACAACATATTCTATGTGTAGGTACTGTTTAAATACACATATGGTGTTCAAGTGCAACAAATGGTTTATAATTTAAAATACAAATATGAAGCTATGCGACGATTAAAAATTCTAGGGAAATACCGTTTTTTCTATTTTTGTTCAAACGATTTTAATCACAATCACTGGGTCTTAACAAGTCTTTTATTAAATAATTTTATCAACATTAATTGTAATTTATAAATCAGCAATTAAGCGATTACAATATCAATATTTTAACATCATATATTACGTCGCAGTGAGCCCCTATTAATTTATCAACACAATGTCGACTGTTCTAAGGATTTGCTGCAGCATTCTTTTGATCGGAATACTTTATTATATTTTTAGAGAGAAATAGAGTAGAAAAAAATAGAAGATTAAGTATCGTGGTGCCAGTTTAATATACACGTATAGGTATGCTATTAAAGCGGACGACGATTTTTCCATTGCGTACGTTGACAAAAGAATCGCAAGTTTTCTCCCAAACTCCCGTTATTTTATATTAAGATCGACGAAGATTTTAATGGTTATTCAGAGTTAAAATAAAGTTCAAGTGTGATCACAAGATCTACACACCTACACCACGTTGACAGCGCACACAATAATAATATTATTCTTACATTGTCGCGGTTATCCGGAGGAACATCATTGGCCAGTCATCGTGGAATGTGAACCCCGTCGCAGTTGAGCCCGAGAAGAATGAGAAGAAAAAGTATGGAAGTCGTGTCGAAAAGTACAGAACGTATCTATCTACCAAACAACCTGGCTACGTACATGGCGTGCCGGTGTAGGCGCAAGGCGTGCGCACGTGCAGCGAGATCGAGACGATGCGCGAGGAAGGAAGAAAGAGACAGAGTGCGAGGAAAAGAGGAAGACGGATTAACCAAACATTACCAAAACCGACGACGGACGCACACAATGCAGTGCCGATGATTAGGCTAATTCGTACTTACAGCGTAACAATATAATGACTTAACCGACATATCGACGAACAGCGGGTGGCGGCAATAATGTACGATATATGTAGTGTATGCCAGAGAAATAAAGAGAGAGAGAGAGAGAGAGAGAGAGAGAGAGAGAGAGAAAAAGAGAGGATTAAATATATCGGAGTCGCACGCGCTATCACCGTGTAACGTGCCTCTAGTTTGCCTATCGAAATCGCCGTCGTCATAATAATAATATAATGATTTTTTTTTTTTATACTGTCGGTTACTACGTGGTTTTTTTCACTAGGCTGCGTAACAATTAATTTTTTCTCTTTTCAACTGTTATTTTATATTACCACGCGCGTGTTTCGTCGATGACGAATTGTTCTCGCGACTTTTGCGATATGACCGCACCACACGTTTCGAGCGCGTTTCTTCGCACGCAGTAATCCGGTTGTACAAACGTAAACCGTATAATATTATAGTAGCACAAAAAAAAAATGATCTTACTCGAGAGCCCATGAGGCCGAAAGTTCATCGTAATTACTCGTGTTCTCAGTGGCGTACGACAGTAAATCGTCCAAAACGAAACGAACGCTTACTGCCAAATATACAAGAACAAGGCGCGATCGCGCGTGTACAATTGTTCTGTGTTTCAATGTTCAAAAGTATACGAACCGCTAGACGTTCGGAGAGAGAAAAAACTGGTTCACGTTACGCGTTTCGCGGTAATAAACGTCAGAAAAAAAAAAGAAAAAATCAGTAAACACTTGGTCGAAAGCGTCGCGCAATGGTAGCCGATCGCGTGTGACCGTGTTTCCGGTACACTTCCTGTCCGAAGGCGGCAGCGGTGGTTGAAATTTCCCTGCAAGAAAAACGACAACGACGACGACGACGTGACGAACGGTCAAACGGGAACGGAAGATGCCACGCGGTCTACCCGAAGCGTATTTTATTCAACAAACGTACGCGCGCATATCCACAGCGGCGGCGAGAGACGACATCGCCGTTGTCGTTATAGTTTTTTTTTTTCTTTATCATAATATTTTTCTTTCGTTATTATTTTCGCGTTGTTCGCTGCGGACGGGCCTCCGTAAAAGGATCCGTTCGGAACCGATAATGATACGCGAAACGTGAAGAATACGTGAGCAAGAGCAAGAAAGAAAAACACATATACATATATATATATATATATGTATAATATGTGTGCGTAAAAAGAAAAAAATCGACGACAAAGACGACGACGACGACGACAATAATAATAATAAATATAACCCGTTGTCGCAGTTTACTACAACTACTACTACTACTACTATTCTACCGCTACTACTGTGCTACGCGTAGTTACCGGGAGACGAGGCGGCTGCTGTTGCTGCTGCTGTTGCTGCCGAGGAAGACGTCGGCGGCGAGTGCGACGGCGGTGAACGCGAGACCGGGCCAGCTGCTGCGGGGGGCGGTGATTCCGATCCGCTAGACTCTGCGCCGCTGTCCGACGCTCTCGAACTCATCCCGTCGGTTTCTTTGGAATCGTGGTCATCGCCGATGTTGTATGACAGATCGGTTTCTTCAAATCCAGTCGCAGACAT